GCAAAAAGGATAAAGTGAGGTGCTAGGTTGTTAGTTGATAAAGCAAAAGAATTCAGAGCCATGACTTGCTTTCCTTATATCAGGCAATACCAGTCACAGTGATTCCTCAAATTTGTAATTTATATTAGGGGAATGAACTAATAAAATTCTTAATATTTTTAAAATAGGATCTTCCAGTATCTTCAAAGCAACTTTTCAAGCTTCAAGTTCTTTGCCATTGTGCCAATTTATTTCTTCCTCTTCCTCTTCCTCCTCTTCTTCTTCTCCTTCTTCTTTGAGACAGAGTGTTACTTTGTCACCCTGGAGTAGAGTGTCATGGTGACATAGCTCACAGAAACCTCAAACTCTTGGGCTCAGGAGATTCTCTTGCCTCAACCTCCTGAGTAGCTGAGACTACAGGTGCCCACAACACCTGGTTATTTTTTTTAGAGACAGGGTCTCACTCTTGCTCAGGCTGGTAACAAACCTGTGAGTTCAGGCAATGTGCCTGCCTCAGCTCCCAGAGTGCTGGGATTACAGGCATGAGCCACCATACCCAGCCCCCTTATTTTGTCTTTTGATTGCAAGAAAATCTAATTTTAAGTTATTTGAAAAGTGTTCAAGATAATATTGGCCCATGAGGAGGCATTGGGAATGGGAGAAGGAAATTAAGGACTAATCAGAGATTTCTGATGGGCATGCATACTTGCAAGTGAGTGCAAAGCATGATAAAAAGGATTGAGGCAAGGATTCAATTAATGGAGAGAACGTTTTGAAGGGCACTGTGTGGTTATCCATCTATACTTGCCATTCGCTATCTCAGTAAAGTGAATAGAGATTGGTGAATTTATGAAAGAAGGTACTTTGAAGATGTCTTAGTGTTAATCTAAAGAATTGTCTTCTCTTTGTGGTATGTAACTGATGCTGAGGCTGATGGTGCACTTGGAAAGGGGAGGGCAGAGGAAGTTTATCCTGCTGCTCTGTTCCATCTGAGTGATTTTAATTTAGAGTGGAATAGAAAAACATATCTTAGTCCTATTCTCACATTCAAATTTACATGCAATAATATTAGTAACTTTACTATCTGACACTTATGTGAAGTCTGTAATTGAGTCAGGATCCCAAAGAAGGGTGATTCAATGGCCCCCTAAGCTCCAACAATGGAGACCCCAGAATTATCCCAAACATTTAACAAAAATAATCTTTATTATAATAATAATTATGAGTGCTGCTGCCTCCACTGCAACATTTATTGAATAACTACTATCTGGATCAGAGATGAGACATAAAACAAAATTCTAATGAGATGTCTCACCTAAAGGGAATTAGTAAAAAGATAGAGCATGCCCTTGTAGGCATTGCTAAAGAAATCAACCAAGAAAGTTGACACAGTGCCTGGAGGTTAACTTTAGAAAACAATTACTCCTCTTAGGCCTGAAAGACAAAGGGCTACTGTCAACGGTTGGTGAGAGGATGAGAGAGGGAGCCAAGAAAAAAATCCCTGCCCCTCTGTTTCACCCAACGTCCTCCCCCTCCCCCAGAAACTCTAGCACACATCACTGGCATATTTAGCACATATTCCTGTTTAACATTGAACCAGGAAGGGCATAAGAGAACAGAGTGATCTCTCTCCTTCCCAGTTTTGACTTCTTGCTTGCTCCTCTCCTGTGCAAAGTCAGCTGGAAACCAGACAAACAGCACAAAACTCTGCTGATGAATCCATAGGGGTGAAACTCCAGGTGGACAGTGCAAGGCAGACAAGACAACAGATCTGGATGGCAGTAGGGTGCTAAAGGAAGAATCACCAGCACCAATATTATCTGCAAATCCACATTGTTCTGTAGTTGAATATAATCATACTTATTAAAAATATAAAGGTACAACGTTCAAAATGAGTAAATAATTAGTGCTGGTCCAGCAAAAGTTAATCAACCTTCCAATCCTTTTCTAGACTGCACATTTAAACTTTCTCTCTACATCATCCACTATTTTATCTCACAGACTGTGGAAAGAAAACTCAACGTTCTCCCAAGGCAAAATATACTGTGTCATTGAAAAATAAAGTAAAATAATGAATCCCATTGCTGCATAATTTTTAGGAGATTCAGCTCCCTAAAGACCGTGGATAGCGAGCAAAATTGATGCCCTCCATGAGCTTAGGATTTTCAGAGGAAGGGAAAAATAATGTTTATAATTTGATGAATTTTTGATGGAAATAATTGAACCATAGGGATTTGGTCCTGAAGTGACAATTCCATTATAAATTCTTCAGGTTGTTTGTATCTATTCTGTCATTGTGAAGTCACTCTTCTTTCTCAGGTAGGGTTAAAATTTTAAAAAGTATTGTGGAATCTAGAAATTATGTATTAATCAAGAAAAAATGAGCTAAAACATATTCTAATGAGCTATTATTCTGAGTCTAGGTGCTTAAAAAGTGATAGTTAGAGTGTTTGCATAATAGAATGAACTATGCTAAAGAGAACATTAACTTCATCAGAATTTACTGACTGCCTCCAATTGGAAACCACCTATCTAGGCTTCTCTGAGTTGACCATAAGGTTAGGTACCATCCTTGTCTTTAAAGAAGCTCCCACTTTGATGATGAGACTTATTGTAGACCAGACCTGGATCATTCACCAAATATTACTAGTAGTCACAACTTATGAAGTGCCTACTACTAGACAGACATTTTCAAAGTATCCTTGGAATTAACTCCCTCATTTGGAATAAGTTGCTACTATTAACCAAATTTTATGAATGGGAAGAGCCAGGCACAGAAAGACCAATCACTTCCTGTAGTCTGCACAACAGAGAACCAGAGGAACCTGACTTTCCACCTAGAAAGTGAGACTGCAAATTCTCAGTAACTTATTATAAGACTCTGCTGAGGCTCAATAATGTCTACTCTCTAGCTTCATGAAGAATCAACGGGTACACTATTAAATGAATTTTCTGATTCCTTTTGAGTAATCAGCGCTACTCTTTGTCGTTACAGAGGTTGTATCAAGTAGTTCTGACCCCCCTCATGAACAATTGGCAACTTTTAGGTTCATCATCTAATTAATTATTTGAAGTTAATTAAAAAATACATATTATGAAAGAAGCCTCTCGAAATTTATTTTTCTACTTCAAATTGAACCACGACCACATCCCAACGAGGCTCCACCTTTGTTAAAGCCAAAGACTGACCTTCTAGACTCTTTGGGAGGCTGAGCAGTGGCAAGGTTTCCATGAAAATGTCTCAGGGAAATATAAATGTCTCAGATGTCCCCAAAGCCACTTCTGTCCATTTGCAAAAGTGTCTCTCTGATACCCTTGCTCAGACCAGTAGGATGCTGTGTTCTTTTTCTCATAATGTGCTCAGTTAAACTGCCTGGGCTCTTCCTTGCTTTACATCACCTCATTCCTCCACAGTGCAAAGATAGAGATAGTAATTATTTTGAACCTTGATTAATTTGTTAATATCCGGAAGCTAATTATAAATGCCCTTCTCTAATAGCCCTGAAAGAATATTTTCTTATTTGGCAATCATTATTAAAATTATTATTAACATTCAATGAGCCTGATGAGCTTGACAAAAGAAAAACTCAAAATAACTGTGATTCCATAGATTTACGATTACCTTAGTCATTAAGCGCAAAGTTCTTATGTACTGAATGAGGTAATACAAGGGGTAAGATTCTTGAGTGTGAAATTTACAAAGTGCCTTGGAAAGACACCTGTTTCCAGGGAGTATAACGTTATCAAATCTGTATATATATCCTGGAATAAGAATTTTTGATCTTTCCATAAAAGTCTTCATAGTCACATTTATCCTGCCTAAATGTTGGGAGATGAACTTCATGATATTGTAAGTATAATCTCAAATGTATGGCTAATATGATTATTATTTACTATGATCTGTTACAGTTTTCAAGGACTTTACTGAATTCATGTTCTACGTTTTGCCTAAATTTATAGGAGTTACAATGAGATAGATTTGAGACATAGTTATTTTTATCCGAGGACATGTTTTCTCAACCAATTTTTCATAATTATGTTCCTATCCTGGTGCCCTTTGGTACACTTGTCCCCCCATAAACATTTATAGCATCAATATTTGTATATATGTATTGTATACCCACACACACACTTGTGTTTATTGTTTATGTACTTGGTGTGTATATATATATATATATCATTTATACCAAAAAATAGTTAAGATTTACTTTCGCTCCCCAAGAGCCAATTTTTGCCTCCTTGGTTCAAAATATATAGCACAAAAAAAATCCTGGCTAAGCCTTAAAAGTGAAGAAATATTTGGTCAGATGAGGACCATCTGCAGTGGGGAACAGGGTGAGGGAACAGTTTGAAAACCATCTTGGGTTCAGAGGCACAGGTAAAGAGTTTCCTGTTCTATAGGATATGCACTGGACATCAGTTCCACTTCCATGTGTGCACTCAGCTGTGCAAAGTGTAATGAATTTCAATGGCTTGTACTTTAGATACCACACCCAAAGTATATTGTAAAATAAAAGATTGTAATTTTAAAGAAAAGCAATGTTTACACTCATTTGTTCAAGGAAAGTGTAAGTGGATATGTGTAAAGAAAATTTACAAAAAGTTAAAAGATAAGGCTGCTCAAATATGAAAATATTTGCTGAAAATCATTTAAAATAGAGGATTGCCTTTTTATACGGAGAGCTCTAGATTAAATTAGATGTTCAACATATCAGTCAGCTAACAGGCTTGGTGTAGGGGCCTATGGCACACCTCCTGAGCAAGGGGCTCAACTACAATTTGACTTTACCCAACAAATGCAAACAATATAATCTAATCATTCGTGGCAGTCTAAAATTTTTTTAAAATGAAAAATATCAATCACATGCTCAGTAGGCTCTTTATACCATGTATATTTGCAAGTTTGAGAAAAGAGGAAGAAATGTTGGATGACATTTCTGGGGGGTAATGGAGACATGAAAAAACCAAAAGGCATTTGTATTTTCTTTCCTTTAGACCTCACTAGAAGCCAAGCAAACACAATGTTAAAGACAAACTATACAATGGTGACTGAGTTTATTCTCCTGGGACTGACAGACCGAGCTGAGTTGCAACCTGTCTTCTTTGTGGTGTTCTTACTCATCTATCTTGTCACAGTCAGCGGCAATGTGAGCATGATTTTGTTAATCAGAAGTGACTCGAAACTACACACTCCAATGTACTTCTTCCTGAGTCACCTCTCCTTTGTCGATCTGTGTTATGCCACCAATGTCACTCCTCAGATGCTGGTTAATTTCTTATCCAAGAGAAAAACCATTTCCTTCATTGGCTGTTTTATACAGTTTCACTTTTTTATTTCCCTGGTGATCACAGACTATTATATGCTCACAGTGATGGCTTATGACCGCTACATGGCCATCTGCAAGCCTTTGCTTTATGGTAGCAAAATGTCCAGACGTGTCTGCCTCTCTCTCGTGGCTGCTCCTTACATTTACGGCTTTGCAAATGGTCTGGCACAAACCATCCTGATGCTCCGTCTGTCCTTCTGTGGACCCAATGAGATCAACCACTTTTACTGTGCAGACCCACCTCTCATGGTCCTCGCCTGCTCAGACACCTATGTCAAAGAGACCGCCATGTTTGTGGTGGCTGGTTCCAACCTCACCTGCTCCCTCACCATCATCCTCATCTCCTACATCTTCATCTTCACAGCCATCTTGCGCATCCGCTCTGCTGAGGGCAGGAGCAAGGCCTTCTCCACTTGTGGCTCCCATCTGACGGCTGTCACCATCTTTTATGGGACACTGTTCTGTATGTACCTGAGGCCCCTTTCTGAGGCATCTGTCCAACAGGGAAAAATTGTGGCTGTTTTTTATATCTTTGTAAGTCCCATGTTAAACCCGTTGATCTACAGTCTGAGAAACAAAGAAGTTAAAAGAGCAATAAAGAAAGTAATTCAAAGGAAACTATTAGTTAAATAACGTAGATGTTTGGGTGACAGGTCAGATCCTTGTTACCTGACCAACTAATGAGCATCTTAAATTGATTGACATTTAATTTCATAACCCATTTAATTATTGAGTATTAATTGCCTTTTATAATCTCTGAGTGGGATTTGTAAGGATGTTTCAAATTATTAGCTTCAGTTCACAGTGCCACCTCAGTGAATTCAAAAAATGACACAGAAACTCAACGACAAGACCAGAAGACACTGTTATAGCACCATATAGTCCATAAAGAACACAGGGGTTTATCCACAGCACTCCCATTGGTAAAGACAGAATTATCAAATATCGTAGAAATGACAGTTCATTTAATTGTTACTGTGCTTCCAACTATTTTTCAGAAACTTGTCAACCACTGTAGGTAGTATTTTTTCTATTTTACACAAATTATACAAAAATGAGGATCATTGGATTATGTCTCAGATTATTTCTCTAAAGTATATCTTTAAAATGATATTATTGATCCAAGAAAATCCTCTTTCATGAGTCTTTTGATGAAAATGCCAAATTTCCTTTGGAGCTTTTTTCTTTTTATGTGTTTTCTTGTTTTACCAGGCTGAATGACCACCAATATGTGACCTCTTTTTCCACTCTCTCATTACCATTACCTGTTCATTCACTGTTCTCTTTGAATGAATAAGGGGAATTTGATGTTTTTATTTGTGTGTGTGTAGTTGATGACAAAAAAAACTTTTTGTTTATTACATATTCAAATTTTTCTGTGAGAAATCCAAGTCCTTTATTTTGTTTATTTTTAAATTGTTGTGTTTATATTGATTTTTTTTCTTTTTTTGAAAATTTTTTTCATTTTTAATTGAAATCATAACTTTATAAATTTATGGGATACAACTGGATGATTGTACAATGTGCAAATGTAGTAATGAAATTGCTTGATCAAATGGTAATTCTATTTTTAATTTCTTAAGGAAATATATGGACAGTTTTACATAGTGTCTATAATCTTTACCCTTCCACCAGAAGTGTAGGAAGTTTCCTCTTTCTCCCCATTTTCATTGACATACTATTATTTTGATAAAAGCCATTCTTTTTTCTTTGGAGAAATGTCATTTGGGGCTTTTGTCCATATTTCATTAAATCATTATCATCATTATTATTGTCTAGTTGTTTGACTTACTTTTGTATTCTGGATAATTCATAAATTTTTTTTTCCCATTCCTTGGGTTATCTCTTCACAGTGTTGATGGTTTCCTTTGCTGTGAAGGAGCCTTTGAGCTTAATGTAATCCCGATAGTCCATTCTATTTTTGCCTGTGTTTTTGAAGTCAACCCAAAAACTTTTGGGAAGACCAATATTCTGGACAGTTTCTTCAATGTTTCCTTCTAGTTTCAGGTTATAGATTTAAGTCTTTAACCCATTTCGACTTAATTTTTTTAGACAACAAGAGGTAGAGTGAGTGTTTTCTTCTTCTATGTGTGAATATTCAGTTTTCCCAGCACCATTTATTGATGAGACTATCTTTTCTCTATTGAATGTTTTGGGGACATAAGTTGAAAATAAATTGGCTGTAAAAGTGTAGGGTTATTTCTGAGTTTTCTACTCTGTTCCATTGGTCTCTGTGTCTGCTTTTACCCCAGTACCATTCTGATTTGATTACTATAGCTTTGTATTATATTTTGAAGCTGAGTAGTGTGATGTTTCCAGCTTTGTTCTTTTTGCTCAGGATAGTTTTGGCTACTCTGGGTTTTTTGTGCTTCCATACAGATTTTAATACCCCCCCCCCTCATTTCTGTGAAGAATGCCATTGGTGTTTAGAACTGAATCTATAAATTACTTTGGGTAATTTTGCCATTTTAACACTATTAATCCTTCCATATCAATGAGCATAAAATATTTTCCATGTATTGTGTTTCTTTCCACTTTTTCATCTGTACTTTATAGTTTTCCTGCTTTCCTTTTTTAGATCCTTTATATCTTTGGTTAAATTGTTCGTAGATATTAGCTATCATAAATGGGATTGCTCCCCTTCTACCTCCTTCACTTTTTCTTCCTCTGCCATCCCTGAGACAGTAAGAACAACACCTTCTCTGCCTCCTCCTTAGCCTTGAAGGATGAAAACCTTCATGACGATCCATTAACACTTAATGAATACTAAATATATTTTCTCTTCTTTATGATTTTATTAATAACATTTTCTTTTCTCCAGATTACTATATTGTAAGAATACAGTAAATAATTTATGCAACATAAAATATGTGTTAATCAAATATTGGTGTTATCAGTAAGGTTTATGGTTAACAGTAGGCTGTTACACTCAGATTTTCAAATGTGTAGGGATCTGCTACCCAACCCTCTCATTGTTCAAGGATTAACTATACGTCTTGTATGCTTTTATTCACATGAAGTTCTAGAAGATGTGAAACTAATTGGTACTGAAAAAATCAAAAGGGCAAAAAAAAAAAAACATTTTCTATTTGTGCTAAAATTTCATGTTTACATATAACAAGCAGGGTACACATGTGTTATTTAGGAATTTCATCCTCAAAGTAGAATCTTCCATCACAAAACATCAAATTAAAGGCACAGCCTTGAGAAACCAACAAATAGAAAAAAGTTTTAATGGGTTTTTTAGAATTAGTTTTAAAATACTTTAGGGAATATACCTAAGAAATATATTATAAACCTTCCCACTTTGTTTTATAAATTATGGTGAGTCAGCATTTATAGGTAAGTAATTATCTACATTTGTTTACTAAAAAATACATCTTTTTGTGCTGTGAAGATTCTAGACATCTATTAATATGTCACTGATTTTCTAAAAATCAGTTTTTGTCTGCAAGTTTTTCTGTATATATATGAGAAGTAAATAAATAGCTTTTAGGTATAATTTTTGAGAAGTAATTTATACAATCATATCTTATTTTCACAAAAAAACTGGAAGAGAGTTACTGAAACTTTTAAACGTTATCTCTGTTTCCCTAAATAAAGATTTTCATGAGCGGGTTAGTGGCACAAAAATGAGAACCAAAAATATTCATACTCATTCCATATTTGGGAATTGTTTACTATTCAAATGACACCTTCTCAAAAAGATTTCTCTGAGTCTTCATGTAGAACTATCCATCTACACTTCCTTCTTCATAGAGTTTCTTTTATCTTAAATTATATTATATAGTTTTCCATACATTTAATGTATTTCTTCTATATACCTCTTAGTATGGCTATTATCAAATAATCAAAAGATATCAAGTGTTGGTGAGGATGTGGGAAAATTGCAATCCACATACATGGTTAGTAAGAATGTAAAATGGTATAGCAGCTGTGGAAAGAAGTAGGGAGATTTCTCAGAAAAATTAAAAATAGAACTACCATATGAGCCTGAAATCTTACTTTCAGGATATATAATCAAAATAATTAAAATTAAAATCTTGAAGAGATGTCTTCACTCTCATGTTCATAGCAGCATTATTCCAAATAGTCCAGATGTAGAACCAACCCAAATGTCCAGTCCACTAATGGAAGAATGGATAAAATTATGAAATAGATAGACACACTGGAGTATTATTCAGCCTTAAAAAAGGATATTCTGTCATATGCGACAGTGTAGATGAACCAGCAGGACACTATGCCAAGTGAAATAAGACAGTCACAAATGGACAAATACTACAAGATTTCACTTATATGAAGTATCCATAATTGTTAAACTCACAGATACAGAAAACATAGTGGTAGTTAGCAGGGCCTATGAGGACGGGGACATAGAGAGTTCCTTTCTGAGGCATACAAAGTTTCACTATTGCAAGATGGTTAGATTTTACAGACTTGCTGTAAATACTTACGCCTATAGTTAACAAGGCTATATTTCTTTTTTTACAAGACTATATTTCATAATTAATTTTTTTTCAGAGAGTAGATCAAGTTAAATTTTCTTTCCATATACATAATAAAAGGAAGATGAAACCTATATGTGCTCTCCACAGAACTCTTCGGACAAACACTGATCAGTGAGGAATTACCGAAAATATGGCCAGCATCTGATTAACTTCTTGATCCCAGAGTGTTCCAATTAAACCCAAAGGGGTGATTACAGATATAACATCACTGCTGCTCCTCAGAGCCTGGGAAATTTGCTTTAAGAGCAGGTCCTTATCTTTCACATCCTGGTATAAATATGACGACATTTTATAGGATGAGAGGCATCAAGAAACTTCCTTAATCAAGTGGAGAAAATAAATGTATGTCAGAATCAAAAGTAAGTCTTTGCCTTTTCAGCTTCTTTATTTTTAGTCAGGAAGAAGTTGTACTAAAGCCTCAAACTGAGATCCAGAAATTACTTACATGTACCATTCTTAAGAATCAAGTTTTCCTTGGCTTTGCAAATGAGTAGGGATCAAGATTGGTTTTTATCTCTGAAAAAAGGCAGGGGCTGTGTGCAAAGAAACAGAGAGGGAAGAGGAGCTATGAAAAGTGTTAACTGCGTTTCTAACAACACTCATCATGAGCTTGCTTTATTTGGACTTTGTCACTTGAAGGCTGCTTGCTAATATTATGTTTCTATTTTCATTTCAAACATATTGGTTATTTCTACCTTTATAACTATAAATTGGCAGCAGTATATTTTCTCCTGCACATTGCTAAGACAAAATTAACTTTGATGCATATTGCTTCTTAAAAATGTGTACATGCAGAGCTCCGCGCCCATAGCTCAGTGGGTAGGTCGCCAGCCACATACACTGATGCTGGCAGGTTTGAGCCCAGCCAGGGCCAGCTAAAGAGCAATGACAACTGTAATAAAAAACATAGACAGGCATTGTGGTAGGCACCTATAGTCCCAACTACTTGGGAGGCTGAGGCAAATGAACCACTTAAGCCCAAGAGTTTGAGGTTGCTGTGAGCTGTGACACCATGGAACTCGACTAGGGCGACAAAGTGAGACTCTGTCTCAAAAAAAAAAAGAAATGTGTACATTCAGGCTTGTCTGATTTTAGTAGTAGACTTTGATCTCAATTAATTCCCCTTACAGCATGCTTACTGAAATTTGCTTTGACCTTCTTGATCCATAATTTATAGAAATCTCACTGTTGCGAAACATTCCCCAAAGGCCAGCACTCCACTCATCATGAAAACATAAGGCCATTTTCAGGCATCATATGGGTCTTATTCTACTGACGGAGTTAAATACTTAGATGCAAGTGATTGATAAGATCCTTATATTGAGAGAGGTAGGATTTTGAGTATATACATTTATTTTGGTGAAGGAGTCATAATTTTATTGGAATTTTGAAGAAGTGCATATAAATAGACAACCAAATACAAAAAACCAAGATGCTTAAGAATCATTCTCACACTGAAATATCGCTAAAGTTTTTTCTTGTTTTATTTATTTTTTTTTTGAAAGAAAAATCTCCTTTCATTCCCTTTTAATTGAGCAGCACACAAAATTTACGCAGACAACTTGCCTTTGGAATGGGTCAGCTGCTAGTGTATCCTCAGCTGGGCTGGGTATGTTTTTCAATTTTTGTTTCAATTGAAGGGAGACTGGTACTCTCCTGCTTCCATATCCATTTTCAGTTCTGATAGCCTATGTGTTCCAGGCTTGTGCTCAGAGGGCCCCAGTTTTGCTGTCATGGTCACAATATCCTTAGTAATTGTTGAACAAGGCTCCTTACATTTACTGGACACAGTATATTATGTAGCTCATCAACGTTTCACAACTTACAGCTTCCTCCTGACCTAAACCTACCCCCTTTTCTCCATCACGTAGAGACTAACCTGGGAACAGACCTGGACAGATAGATGTTTCTTATTTATAAGGCGTTTTCCTCTCAATCTGTCAACAGCCAGCCTGCCAGCCCCGCTGTGGATTTCTTTCTGAGTACACACGTCTGGTTCATAGTGTTCTTTCTTCTCACCTCTCCTAAGTACCTCTGCCCTGCTTCAAATGGGTTATTTAAGGATCCCAGAGAAGTCACAGATCTTGTCAATGAAAAGTGTTTTTTAAAAGCCCACAGGTGGTTATTAACTCACCTAGAACAAATCAGACCTCAAGCATAATTTCTAGATGTATCTTGGTTTTCTTTTTATTTGTTTGTTTTTGTTTTTATTTTTTAGAGACAGAGTCTCACTTTGTTGCCCTTGGTAGAGTGCCGTGGCATCATAGCTCTCAGGAACCTCCAACTCCTGGGCTTAGGCGATTCTCTTGCCTCAGCCTCCCAAGTAGTTGGGACTACAGGTGCCTGCCACAATGCCTGGCTCTTCGTTTTTTGCTGCCATTTGGCAGGGGCTGGGTTCGAACCAGTCACCTTCAGTATTTGGGGCCAGCACCCTACTCACTGAGCCACAGATAGTGCCTTAGACGTATCTTGTTTTAAGTCTGAAAATTTCACACCCTGACCTTTTTACTCCCAGCTTTCTCTGTTCTGTTAAGCAACATCTGTTCTCTGTTTGGGGCTTCCTGGGTGTAGGGAAGTGTGAATACATCCCTTTGCCACTTTTCTGCTGACACACAAATACATCTTATATTTCAGAATGTTTTCTGCTAGATGTTTCTTGAAGAGTGGCTGCAACCAACCACTGACCCCTATTCTCCAGGGAAGGCTGTGCATGCTCTTAGTGGTAGAGTGGTACAGAAAGTTGTTGGTAGAGATGGATCAGACTTTTGATTAAGTAAATGTTTGTGTTTTATGGAACCTAGCTGAAGTTTTCTGTATAAATGCTGTGCACGCACACACACACACACCACTAGCATTTCTAAAGAAAGATCATATATGGGATCTTTACATCTGCTTTTATTCTTCCTAGAACACTTTCCTAAGATAGCCTTAAACCTTGTTCTTTCCCTGCTTTAGCTTTTTTGCATAAATAAAAGTCATCTTTAAATTGAGGCCTTCCTTGATTTTCCTATTTGCTAGTTAAGACATCATTTGTTTACTTAAAATTCAGTCAGTATCTGTCCACTAGGAAGAATGCAGAAAGGCAAGGGTTTTTAAGATTTGTTCACTTATGTATTTACGGTGCCTAATCACATGGTATCAAAAGCATTGCTTGATGAAGGTTTAGTTTGACGTCCACAATGATTTGAAGGAAGGCAAGTCAGACCTTATTATCAGCACTTTCAGAGGCAAAGCTTTTTAATTGCAGAAACAATAATGTAATCCAGGGTCCCTGACTAATTCCTAACGTGGAGATGTGTCATTGCTTCTACTAGTGTGATTTGTCCACACAGTAGAACATGCCTGTGTGCAGGACAGTGTGTGTGACACACCTGTGCTCCTCATGCCTCACCGTGTAAGGACCGCCAGGCTTGTCCATGTCCCCTGCTGTTTCTTACTATCACATGTCTCAAAGTCTTCCTGGTCTGCATATGGAAATTCATAACACAGGTCAGCTTTTCACAGCAGGGTCTAAGAAGGAGGTTCTTACATTAGACAACCTTTAGTCCAAAGCTCAGATACTGTACCCACTAAGAGTGTGACCTTCACCCAATTGTTTAACTTTTTATTTTTTTTAATGTGAGGACACAAACAGCTAGGTTACAACTTTTACATTTGTTAGGTAGAATCTCTCTTATATGTTTAACCTTTTTATACTTCATCATTAACAGTGGTAACATAGGAAAATGATAGTAGCTGTCACATAAGGTATTCTGAGTATTAAATCTCTTATTACACAGAGCCTAGAGCTAAAACCTAGTATATGGTTAAAGATCTATATATATTGTCAATAACTTTTATTGAGGTATTCAACAAATGTTTGTTAAGTACTTGCCCTTCTAGGTAAAGGATATAAAGCAACAAAGAGACACTTGATAACTACCTTTCTAAACTCACAGTTGTCAGTACAGTGATTCATTTTAAATTGAGATTAAAATTGTGAGAAAAAAAAAAAAAACAAGCAAAAAAGAAATGGCAAAAGCATCTTGAGAGAAATGAAGAGGGGATTCAGTGCTGGCACTGAGGTGTATAGAAATAAAAAGCCAGAGGCAACCATTTCTTTTATTTGATACAAGTTGCATTACATAGATGAACTACTATGAATTTGCTTGATTATCAAGTTTCATAAGAAATTGCTTAGTACACAAAATTCACGGCATTACACCAAAACACTATCAGGATACAGAGGTAGGCAAAAAACTGTAAATAATTTTTTCATTTTTTTTGTTTGATCGTAACTGTGTACATTACTGTATTTGTGGGGTACAATGCGCTGACTCTATATACAATCTAGAATTAGTTCTCTCCCACTCTTTTAAATTCATTATATAAATCTGTGATAAGTGGCCCCAAGTACAATAAGAAACTGGACTTTGTTCCTCTCCTAGAAGAACTAGTGAAGAGTAGAATGTAGAAATACTGCTGTGATTGTTATTGTGCTAAAAAATAAATCAATGATATTTAGGGTGTGCTGGCAGCATAGAGCACAAAGAGATTAATTTATTCTCATGCATGAGAAGAGCAGGATGGAAATACTTCATAAAGAAGTGGCCTTGAATCTGGGCCATGTAGGATGAACAGAGGTTGAAGGAGAAAAAGAAATGCAGATGGGGAAGATATAGCTGAGTTGCAAGTATAGGTATAAATATAGATATAGACATAGATTTATAGGTATAGGTATAAGAATAGGCATGTAAAGCAAAATATAATAGTAATTTAATACAAAGACAAGGAAAATAATGACTTAGTAGAAATACTAAGTAGGGTCACAGTAAAATTTGTTGTGGATGATATATTTTTAGAGGAAAATAGTTCCGGCTGTCACTTACAGGGCTTCAGCCCTCTCCCTTTGCTCTATTTTCACAGTATGAAGTGCAGACTGAGTCTTAGAAGATGTGGAACACAACCGGCAGTGCAGTAACCGAGTTCATTCTACTTGGGCTCACGGATCGTCCAGAGCTCCAGCCTGTCCTCTTCGTGCTGTTCCTGGCGGTTTACCTCGTCACCCTCTTGGGCAATGTGGGCATGATAACGCTGATCAGACTGGACTCCCGCCTTCACACGCCCATGTACTTTTTCCTCAGTAACTTAGCTTT